AAAAGCGAACGATTCAACGATTGAGAAAAATTTTCGTTTAGTGTTCGACTCGTCTATGACCGGCTTAACCCTCGTTATAAATACACACGCTCAATCGACAGTAAATTATGTATGTGCATTTCCTCTAAGAGTATCTGAGAAAAATATATTGTCACGGTACAAAGGGAAAACAAATATATTTGCACAATAAGTAGATAGTAACAAAAAATAGAACATACAATGTTTCTGATCGTTAACCATTCCACGCTTTATAATTCAGGAATATTGATGAATGGATGAGTTCATACAACTATTAAAGTTTGATTAGAATTTTTCCAGCTCTTTAACCGAATTAACAGGTTTCAAAGTTAAAGGGTTAGTCCATCCAAAACCAACATTTTACTTTTTGGTGGAGTTTAACCACCTGACAATTTATTTTGTTTCTCTGCAGCTCTGTTGGTAAGTTGTCTGTACTGAGATGCTTGGTCTGCACACTTGCTGTGCCCATTCAGCTCTCTGAGGTTAAACCTGTAACCAGGGGAGGACTGACCATTTGGAAACTCAGGCACTGCCCGAGGGTCCGGGGTCAGTAGGGGGCCCCATGAGATGCTCCTGATACCTTTTTCATAGGCTTTTTTGAGTTTGGGCAAGGACACAGGGGCCCCATGATCCCCTATTGCCCAGGGGCCCCATGAGTTGTCAGTCCGCCCCTGCCTGTAACTAAAGGTGCACTCACACTGTTCATGGTTGAACTGAACAATGCTTGAGTTTAATTATCCATCCTCCCCCCACCACCACTGGTCTGCACTCACACTAGGCTATTAGCATGTGTTCTGCCCATATGGAAGAAAAAATATATTTGAAATATATTTTAAAAATATTCTTCCCAAATATATTGACATATATTTGAAATGCTACAATTTTGGCCATATTCAATATATTTAGAAATATATTTCAATAAATAAATATATATATACACTGCATTTTGAAATGTGTTTTTATTACAAAATAAATATTTTATTATTATTTTATTATTTTTTATTATTTTATTTTTAAAAAATACATTTCAAATATACTGTATGTCTTTAAAAATACAAATCTACATTTTTGGAATGCATTTACAAATATATGAAAAAATATATGTTAAAATGACTTTTTTTATGTTAAAAAAAATCTGAAGAATATATTTAAAAAATATACTCGACCAACCAGACGAGTGACCTTTGTTTCTGTGCTCCGTCATCTATGGAGAGTTCTGTGCTCATGTATGGTTTGAACTCATACTGAAGTAAACTGAAGTAAACATGCCAGGGTACTAGGTGTAACCCTAAACTCCCATCTATCCTTTCAGCCCCAAATCCAATCGCTGTCCAAATCGTGTAGACTTCACCTCCACAACATCTCCAAGATACGACCGTTCCTAACCTCGGAAACCACTAAGCAACTTATTCACTCCCTTGTTATATCTCGCCTTGAGTATTATAACTCCTTCCTCATTGGCCTACCTCATCGCAGGCTATCCCCTCTTCAGTCTATCATGAATGCGGCTGCCAGACTCATCCACCTTACTAACCGTTCTGTATCAGCCACCCCTCTCTGCCAATCCCTCCACTGGCTTCCCATTGCCCAACGGATAAAATTAAAAACATTAACAATAACATATAAAGCCATTTATAACTCTGCCCCAAATTACATCACCAATCTTATCTCCAAATATCACCCAAACCGTACTCTCTGCTCCTCGCACGACCTCTTGTTTTTCTAGCTCTCTTGTCTCCTTCTCCAGAACTTCTCCAGAGCTTCCTTCATCCTCTGGAACTCTCTACCCCATTTTATCAGACTATCGCCTACTCTGCTCACTTTTAGGAGATCTCTGAAAACCTATCTCTTCAGGGAAGCCTATCCTGCCCTCAGCTAATAATGGAATCTTCTACTCCTCCTACCAGTCCATCCCCCACAGTTACTACCTTTTGTACCACTAGCCCCTCCCTCTTAGATTGTAAGCTCCAAGGAGCAGGGTCCTCTTAACCCTCTTACATTGAACTGTATTATTGCTGTATTGTCTCCCGTTAAATTGTAAAGCGCTGAGCAAACTGTTGGCGCTATATAAATCTTGTATAATAATAATAATAATAACTGTACTGGATCATATGTGAACCGCTACCAGGACCACCTCTTCCAAGTTGTCTCAGGCATGGTACTCTTAACCGTTCCTGGGCATGGTTCGGAGTACTCACACTACACAAATGAACTGGACCAAGAGGGTGAACCATGCCCAGGTTTGGTTAAAACTGCCATTGTGAGTGCACCCCAACATATCACTTTTGGATGAACTGAACCTTTATTTTGATACTTCCGCATTACCCCATAGGACATATTGAAAATGGAGTTAAAGGTGATAAAGTAGACAGATGTTGGTTAGAACCAATAAACAAAACTGACCAATGTTATTTGCCGACTGAAAACGTCATGAATGGCTTTATTTGGCAAGCTTTAGGAGCCTTTGGATATCGGGTTCTATATTAATGGTTTGGAAGCTTTTACTGTAGCGCTTAAAAGGTTCTCCTTCTGGGCCAATTAGAAACTTCTCAAAGTTCCAGGATATGTCAGACCTGTGTACAGGGCTCCATACGATAAATCGAGGGTCACTTATCAGACCAGATGGCTCATCATCAGGTGCAGGAAGCTTGTCCTTCAAGTAAGCAAAGACTGGATGAATATCTTTCCCGTTGACCTCACATTTTTGGAAGAGAGTGAAACCAGGTTCAAAGCCGTTACCTGGCCGAACGTATTTTAGGGAATTCAGAATCTCTTCATTTTTACAGTTTTCCTGCAAATAAATGCATAATATTTATAGTCTTACTTCAGATTTCAGTATCCAAACTAGTTTTTTATCTTCACACACCTAAAACACTTAGGTATTAATAGATTCATGAAAGCCTGGTTGGGAAACATAAACTAATATTTTGTAAAAGTGTTTGTTTAAAGCAACAGTAAACCCAAAAGGAAAAATGTTATATATTGCAGCTTGCCGCCATAGACGTGATGGCTGTATTTGTAAAAACATAGTTCTTTTATCTTCACCTGGTAATCCAGCTGATAACACATGTCCTGCTTTGGAGGTCATTTACACAAGTGATCGTCCTCTGAAGAACATTCTGTTGTGGATCATTTTTCAGAGGGTATTTGACAGGCAGTGAAGGAGTGGTATGTTGCCTGCTAAACCCCTGAATTAGCCCTTAGAGACCCTCACCACTGCAGCACAACCGTGTGCATTGCACATGGTGGCTGTGTGGTGCCATTCACTTGAATGGGTTGTGTTTGGTGAACAGCACAGAGGAATCATTTTTACCATGGTTGCTGCAGCATACTTATAACCCCACTTAGCCACCTTTGTAGCTGGGAGGGAGGGGGGGGTGGAGCAGTAAAAACGTAGCTCAAGTGCCTTTTTTTTTTACTGACCCTCCACTCGCAACTTAAAGCTAGGCTTGGTAGGATTCCCCTCCACTTGAGCAACAACAGAGACCCCTTTGACCAGCAGCATTGTCAGTCTAGAAAGAAGGTAGTGTTAGATGTACTAGCAGATTTAGATGGACTGGACTAACAAATGGAACTTCTGCTAACACTTTTTCAGCAGTTACAGGAAATTTTTTTTTTTCCTTTTGGGATAAAGATTTTCATAAATGGCATTTTGTGTGGGACACTTTCTATAGCCCACAGAAATCTTCCCCTACCATAAAAAGGGCTGTTGGTTTTGTTTATGCGCCCCCTCCCAGGCCAAAAGGTTCCAGTCCTCTCCTGATATTCAGCATCATGCTGTGCTAAGGGAAACCTGTATCTTTAAAAACACCTGGCATGAATATGTTTAGAGTCACTGACCTGGAACAAGCGTGAAATTAGAATGTCAAAGTGAAATCAGAACAACTGATCAGCAGACTTGTTCCAGGTCAATGCCTAAAAAGTACTGAGAGTGTTTGTACATCAGGATAGCCAAGCAATGGCCATCTGCAAATATATTATGTTGTTCTCTGCATTCTAATTGTACATTTTATGATGTGTTAATTGTCTTTGAGGGTGTGGGCTTGGCCAAGCTGGCAGAGTGCCCTGCAACTACATACACATGTACATGCATACTTCTGTGGCACGGACATGTGATGTACATGAAATAACAACCAATCGGGAAGTAATATTGGGTATTCTATCAGTTTCCTGTACACACAGGGCTTTTCTAGAATGAGTAACCAATATATTCTACCAAGCTGGGAAAGTATCCTCTTTTTAGGATGTAGTTAAAGAACTTCAAGTAGGGATCATTGAAACATTAAAGTGACACTAAACTCTGTTTTAAAAATAAAATAATCTACTCAAGTATGTATATTTAAAGTGTATGTTACCCTACAATTTCATATATGTGTCTGTTGTACCATGTATTGTGTAAAAAAAATATCTTCTATTGATTGCTTTGCTGTCCTTGTGTGAAATACCTGGTGATCCTGACAGTCCTCCTGCTTTTCTATTGCACATTGATCAAGCCAGGCATGGCAGCACTTTCTTTGTGTGCACATTCTATGCTGCCTCTGTGAATGAGTCTCCTTGAATCCACCATAGCTCATAGCCCCACTGGTAAGCAACATCCCTGATCCTTCCTCCAGCTGCTGATTGACAGCACCAGGAGCCCCCACTATCCTGGCTGTACTGTGCAGTTAAAGCGGTGTTCTAGTCGCACTGTGAAAAAATAAAAGTCAGCAGCTACAAAAACTGTAGCTGCTGACTTTTAAAAAACAGCCACTCCCCTGTCCAACGATCCCGCGGTGTCCTCCCCACAACCCGTTTCACCAGCTGTCTGGTGTTCCAGGCGCCGGCATCTTCAGTGTGGGCACCTGGTTGTGACAGTTTGCAGCTTCACAGCTGGTGCCCACTGCGCATGCGCGAGTAGCGCTACGGTTCCTGAATGGCCCCGTAGTCTTCTGGGACCTGTCACATGTCCCAGAAGACAACGGGGAGGGCCTAGACGATCACAGAGGAAGTGGGAGCGGGTACCTGTCAATTTCGGGTTCCCACTCCCGAAAGGTGCCAATCCTTAATGGGGAGCGGGGGACCAGTCTAAAAAGTGGAACTTCTCCTTCTGGGTGGAGCTCCACTTTAACGAGCACAGGGAGCACACTACTTCCTGGATATTCAGCGGAAGTGGCACTGTGGACCTGGAACTAGTGGTGATGAGCAGGGGGAGTGGATGTCAGGGCACACATACAAGAAAAAAATGTACTGGTTGCAATGTGTCCCTTTCCTCTAATCAGCTCTCAGAGTTCTCCTCACTGAGCTCTGCAGTGTGTAACTTCAGCTCCCCACCACCTGCATTCTGAAAGCTCATAGAAGCTATACAAATTCTGCACTTTGAACAATAGTAGAGGAGAGAAGGCTATAGATAAGCAAGTACAACTTATGTAGGAGGATTTGTTTCATCACCTGAGGATAGTCACTGCACTGGGTATATGTAATGGTTTACAACCACTTTAATGCTTCCCTCTCCAGCAGCACATACTTACCTTTCCTTCAGTTCCCCTCTGAGCCATTCATTTACAAGGAGTGAGGAAAGAAATCCCTGTGTAAGCTCCAAGTTACTCGAGTCAGAGCTTACACAGGGCTAAGAATTCAATTTGCTGCCCAACATGACAGGGCCTATCAACGAGAGGGCAGGGAGTGAGTACCATGCTCTTATGACCAAATATAGTGGCTATTGCTCTGCGCTTTTAGCGGCTGCGCGGAACGGCAGAGAAATGAAGTAGAGGGGAGTAGGTTGTACCAAGAAGGGGACACTACAGCAAACCTGTTGCTTTTCCCTGTGTGGTTGAGTTCCTGCACCTATTCTCTGAGAAAAGAAACCCTGGTGACAATTGATATGCATGCCTACTGAACTGTGTACCAATTTGCCAGAAACTACAGAAGTATGTATAGTTTTGTGTCTTGTAGGAGTATCACTAATGTATCTGTAGCTCTGCCATACTATTAGCATATTAATGTATAGGGGAAAATCAGAAGAAACGTACATCTTTCCAATCTAAATACAGTTTTGACTATAGCTAGTAATAGCCCTTAGAAGCGTTCTTTTATGTTACAATCTATTATTATCTGATGCATGTGGCCTTGACTGTTTACCAATGGATGCATTGTAAAGCAGAGTATCGTTTGCCTAAGCAGCAGTCGTCCTATTCTTCTGCATGCTCTGTGTCCCATTGAAAGGTTGAATGTGCACAGAAGAAGCCTGTCTAGCACATGTGTTGGGTAATAGATATGAAAAGGTCTGCAGTAAAGGTGCCAATAGACTAAAGTGGATTTTGCTTCAGATTTGATCTGGGAGGATAACAAAATCTACAGTAACTCTATAGCAGCCTTTCTTAACCTTTTAACCCCAGAAGAATCCTTGAAATAGTTTCCAGGTCTCATGGAACCCTTAATAAAACCAATTCATTGGTGGTCCATGAGAAAAAAAACTGTTACATTGGTGGTCAGCGGGAAAAATGCAACCCCCCCTGGACAGCAAAAAAGTTAAATTGGCTTCATGCAACTGGCTCTACCAAGTGGCATTGACCCCACATTATGCAGGTATCATCAAATGGGAGGTCAATCAGCTATGGATCAAGGAGACCCCTAGCAAACTCTGGAAGAACCTTAGGAATCCATGGAATGCTGAGACTGACTTCTCTATAGTGTGAGGGACTACTTAAAATGACAGTTGACTCTGATTTAAGAAAAAAAATCTATTCAAATATGTACTTTACTCAAAAAGTCCGTTCTATTGCTGTAAGCCTCCTCCAAATCTCCAATTTGCTGTGATATGATTGTCTGTTGGAGGGCAGCTATGTTCATTCTCCATGGTCCCTCTGTATGTGGGAACATAGCCACCATCTCTTACTTGCTCCCTAGATGGACCATGGGATTTGTAGTTTGCACAGAGCAGTGTACATGAACACAACTCACATGTACTGATCATTCCAAATGGAAGTGAGGGGAAGAAGGAGAGATTTGAGCGCTCACAGAGGATGTTACAAGGAGGCAAAAAAACAAAGTAAGAAATAATTTCAGGAAAAATAGATTACAGAGCTATTAAGCAGTGGTTGTGTTTGGACTATTTTTAACAAAAGAGACATTGTTTAGTGTCATTTTAAATAATTCACTTAAATTATAGCTATGAATGTACTGTAGATGCTTATACTACACTATTATTGGAAAATACTGTTGAGCCATCCTAAAATTATCCATATGTATGTGCAGAAATATTACATCGGCCCATTCCTGACTTGTTGCCCCCACCCACCACAGGTACCTGTGCAATTTTCTCTCTGACATCTATTGACAGAATATATTTGATGAACACTTTAAAAGGAACATTTTACCAAGAAAACATACAGGCTGCTGATACTGAACTTTCCTTTTGAAAATGCCTGGATGTTGAGTTGGTCCAAATATTTCAATCCCTTCTTAATCAATGAGTTACAACAAGTCTTTATAGTGGAAATTCTGTCTTTCCTTCCCTGGCTGCCTGCTTGTTCCAGATAAGGTCGGCAACAGCCAGGCAAACAGCATTATTAGAGTAAAGGTAGTATTAGCAGAGTTCTCTTGGTAGAAGCCTTGAATTTACCTGTAGAAGCCCACCTTGGATAGAGCTCTCCAGATTGCCCCAAGTGATGATGGGCCAGTTCTGAGTACGGAAAATAAACTGCATATTTTACAGACAAATCATTGTGATCTCTTCTATATGTTCACCTGGCACAGATTCATCCAGTTTGAATGTTTTGATCTTTAGATGCACTGTGCCTTGTGAATGATGTAACCACATAAGACATGTACGGTATATTTACAGAATTACATACCTGGTAGCCAAACTGATTGCATGGAAATCCCAGTACAACAAGCCGTCGTGGATATCTGTTTTGCAGCTCATTAAGCTGCTTGTAATCCCTAATGGTTGTATCTCAAAGTGAGGCAACATTTTCTATCAAAACTACTCTTCCCCTAAACACATTGAAATCTACCTTCTCCCCTTCGAGATTTGTGGCTTGCAGGTCGTAGAAGGATTTAGCTATGTACGCCATCGTTGGTTATGACCACAATGGCAGAATTTCTAGAGAGACTTGTTTGAGACCTTTTATTTGGAGATCATGTGACCAGCTGTCACGGATGATATTGTGTAATATATACTTCACAGAAAGTGGATATCTGAGTGTCATTGATACCACCAGAACATTTCAGAGATAAAGCTATTGTGTCAAGTCAGTCTATGACTTCTCTTCATAAAATATGCAAAGGCCTGGACAGTGATACCAGAATACATTATAGGTTTCTGATTCCAGCTTCCTAGTTATGTCTACTTCATTATTACCTCATTTATACCAGATGAAGAAAGCTGTATCTAGTGTTTGTAAAATGTCTACTGTTTAACATACAGTAAATCTTGCTCTACTATCCACATACACCTGGTGCAGATTGGTAAGCAATTATACAACACTTATGGTATATCTAATGGGCGATTCTGCAGAGGTTGCACACTATTTACACCATACGCATTCACATCACACATTTTCATGTGTTGATGTGTTTTAAGTTGAATGAGTCCTTCACACATTTCAGCACAGGAAAAAAAAATTGCACCAGCATAGAGCATTCACATCTGTGCATTGTGGTGCACTATATTTACTTTGTATATGTGTGATGGTTTACAATTAGGAATTCATGGCAATGCAAAGATCATATGCAGCATACACTATATTGCCAAAAGTATTGGTCGGCCTGCCTTTACACGCACATGAACGTTAATGGCATCCCAGTCTTAGTTCGTAGGGTTCAATATTGAGTTGACCCACCCTTTGCAGCTATAACAGCTTCAACTCTTCTGGGAAGGCTGTCCACAAGGTTTAGGAATGTGTCTATGGGAATGTTTGGTCATTCTTCCAGAGGCGCATTTGTGAGGTCAGATGAGAAGGCCTGGCTCACAGTCTCTGCTCTAATAAATCCCAAAGGTGTTCTATCAGGTTGAGGTCAGGACTCTGTGCAGGCCAGTCAAATTCCTCCACCCCAAACACTTGTTGATGTAAGGCTTGGATGCAGCTGCTCTGCCATCAAAACCCATTCCATGAAGCTCTCTGCACACTGTTGTTGTTCTAATCTGAAGGCCACACAAAGTTTGGAGGTAATTAGCTATTGACTCTGCAGACAGTTGGCGACTTTTGCGCACTGTGCACTTCAGCATGTGCTGACTCCGCTCTGTCATTTTACGTGGCCTACCACTTCGTGGCTGAGTTGCTGTTGTTCCCAGTTGCTTCCACTTTGTTATAATACAACTAACAGTTGAATATTTAGTAGCAAGGACATTTCACGGATGGGCTTATTGCACAGGTGGCAACCTATGACGATACCACGTTTAAATTCACTGAGCTCCTAAGAGCGACCCATTCTTTCACAAATGTTTGTAGAAGCAGTCTGCATGCCTAGGTGCTTGATTTTATACACCTGTGGCCATGGAGGTGATTGAAACACCTGAGTCTAATGATTTGGTGGGGTGTCCCAATACTTTTTGCAATATAGTGTATATATATATTTCAAGAGCTGTCAACTTGAGTCCTAGCAACTTGATGAATGAAAGATCTAAAAAGAAGTCGGGTTTGTGCTAGTCTGGTGAGATCTTCCAATGTCATCCCCACAGCTGTAGTCAATGTGTCGAATCATCTAGTAGCTGTCTCCCTCTTCTGCTGCCTTCGATCTTTCCAAACCAGGGGCGGACTGACAACTCATGGGGCCCCCGGGAAATAGGAGATAATGGGGCCTCCTGTGTCCCTGCCCACATTCAAGCCACACCTACACTGAAGACCCACCTACATATTGCAACTCAGCAGCAGGAGGGGACCTTTAAATATCTACCGCAGCTTAGCCTGTCTGGACGTTCTTGGCTTCTTTCTGTAGAAGCTGCTGGGTACTTCTAGGTTTAAAGATGGCTGCCAACTTTATGACCCATCCAGGAGTGTCTTATGAAAGAAGTGAGCCTGCGTGCAAGATCTTAATTTGGGCCTTAATGACAGAGAAAGAAGTGCTGCACATTGCAGCAAAAAGTGGGTATAGTTTTCAGGGACTGGTTACATAGATTCCC